TCCAACGAAAAACAACAAGGAAGCTATGTACAAACACCCTATTAGCATAGGCAGACAAACCAGTAGGCATACCACCAAGCCGCTCGGAAGATTTTTTCACCCGAAAGGGAACCATCGAGTTTTTTTACTTCCGGCTGGTTCTGTCTTAGGGTCCTCACGACCCCACTAGGGGGGAGTGAGCTGTAGCGGTAAATAATTCCCCAAAATTATTGACCACAGCAATCACTCATTGGATGCTGACCACCACTGTTTAAGTCGACTTGTTTAGCTGAAGGCTTCCGGTCAAGCATCCCCGCCATTTGGTACCTCGTCGTGTCACGTGCACGATCACTAGCTAGCTAAGCGTTCGTCTAAAGGCTTGTTTTGGTCCCAAAATATATCTCTTGGTTTGGACGATCAATTATTGGCTTTTGCTTTGTCTTTGGTACGCGAGAATAAATTAATTAGAAGTTGCTGAACGAGATATCCACCAACCTCTAAAAGAGGATTGTCGATGTAAGAACAGCTATTATTATTATTATTTTCATTATAACAAAAAGCTTGGCAGTATTAAGATGAAGAAAATGGTTTATTTACTAATGCAAAGATTAATTATTTCGTCCCAGACACTATTTTCATCACATACGAATATAGTAATTATAATGTGTATACGTCCCACCAAATGTGGTATCGTGGAATTTTTATAAGTAGACGTGCGTGCGCATACAGTCTTTTGAAATGACATCATGTTTTATCAGATAAGATGCAACAAGCTGAAACCTGTGGGTATTGAGTTGGATGTTCACTATCTGACAAAATCCCCGTTGGAAAATTTGCTGAATGCCATCAAGTGCCTGTCACTGACGATGTCAACGATATGGCCCAACGGGACACCACCATTTGCCGTACTGACAGTCTTCACAGTCCTACAAAGTATGACATAATCCTTTTTAAGCAATCTAGGAAAGAATAAGGGTAAACAGTAAAGAAGAATAGATGGGATGCACGAGTTGACAAACTGTGAGAGGAGGAGTGGTTAAGTTATGCCTGAGTGCCTTAACTTCTCAATGTGAAACGTCACATGAAATATTCTTTTAGAAATCGATGAGACACGGGTAGATCAGGCAAAGTCAGAAGAAAAAACTCACCCAAGATGCTTAACGTCAGACTTGATTTCTATATCAGGTTCATCAATCCTACAACGCTCGTGGGAGTTAACAGCCTCATTTAACTTCCTTTTTACATCGGAAACTGAAATTAACAGTTCGACACTTGGAAGGATTTAGTTTAAGGGCGTTAGACGAAGACCATTTGATGACTTCCGATAGAAAGCTGTTCACCATAGTGCGGTCTAGCTTGAAGTTAACCAACACTGAAATAGTTAGGTCGACTGCATACTTAACAAAGTTCATTTCATCAGAGCGAGGTAAGTCATGCAAGAAGAAAGAAAACAGAAAAGGAGAGAGAATGGCGTCTTGAGCGACACCAGTCTCAGTAAGCAGTGAACTGGACAACTCCCCCTGACATTCGACGCACTGCTTTCTTTTTGAGAAATACGAATGCAGCCATTTGGCAACCCACCAGTCAGTTTAATTTTCAGAAAGCTTGTTTAACAAAACATCCCTAGGTACTAAGTCGAAAGCGGATGTGTAATCTAGGAAGGTGCAGCGAACAAATTACCCCCTTTGTCTAAAATGGACATGATTTTATGATGCAGGACAGAAGCCGCATCTAAAGTACTTCTACTATGTTTGTAAGCGAATTGTTTAGGATGGTTAAAGACTTTAAATGAAGATTCAAAAGGACACTAGGTAAACCATCTAATCCCAGGCTACAATAAGGGTTCAGGGACTGCAGATATTTTAGTAGGTCATTTGTATTGAAACAAGGGAGGCAGTTTTCATTAATTTTTGTAACCCTAGAAAGCTTGGTTTTTGTGAGAGAATGCATGAAAGACTTGTTTAGTGTATACACAGCAAAGAATAATAAGTACCAGTCATCTGCTTACCACCGGTGATTTCTTTGAAGAGTTTCCACATATTAGAGGCATTTTAGAGGATATACACTTCTGGTTATAAATTGAATTCAACGTGTGCATCTCAGACTTGATTTGGATATTGATTCTTTTCAGACCAATTTCACCCTTCATTCAATGTGACTTTTCGTTTTGCCTTTGAAGCTTTTTAAGTTGAGAGGAGGAGAAACGGTCAAATTTGATGAAGAGTGTTTCTTTGGGACTACAGGTGTCAAGACAAAATTTGAAATAACATGTACTTTTTGAGACAGTGTTATCAAGACAGTCTTCATTAAACAAATCCCACCTTGTGTCTTTGAGCATGCTCCCAAGACAGAGTGCTTACTCCATGTATATCTTATTATCATACTAATGATGCCTGTTGTCTGGAGTCTCTCATGTGCACAAATAAGAGAATATATTATTATAAGGTGCATTTCATTGTTATATGAGGGAAGTGACTTCAAGCTTTATTTTTTACAAGTCAATATCTCTATATTTCTTGACGTTGTCCATTGAATCCCTAGTTATCAGATTGCCCCCACAAACTAAAGACAAAATGACGCCAACCGTGTAATTTAATCATAAACCAAATTTAAGTAATTTAAATAATACTTATCTATGCCTGTATAACTGGTGTTTTCTACATCGGTAGGAATGGATATGTATTTTGATTATCATTATTATAATTATTAAGTACGCTTACTAATCGTATATGTAATTTATCATATTGATGATGCCTGTAAACTGGTGTCCCTCATGCACAAAAAATGAGAATATATTGTTATTATTAACCTTTGTCAGAAAAGGTGGGCAAACACAAAGTTTTTAACTTTTATATTACTTTTTTCTAACTGCAACGGATTCAAAAATACACATTATTCACCTGTTCCCAGAATTCCAATAACGTCAGTCAATCTGCTTACAAGAACTCAACACCGCAGAAATAGTTGTGACAAACATTTGTGTACAGACATTTGCTTATTACTATTTATTAAATTTGCCTCACGTGCTGCCTACTATCATTTTCTTATTCTGTTTGGGTGAAAATGAATTTGTCATCATGATGAGATGGAGGCTTGACGTACCAATGTGCAAGAAAAGTAATTAGTAACAAAATTCAAAGTAAGGGAAATACTGCTGCGACTGCCACAGCTACATGTGCTCAGTTATTTGTCTCATGTAGTCTTCATTTCGCATATACGCTAACAGCCGCAATCATGTGAATTGACATCACGCTTTAAGTGAAGTAATACTAATGTACTACTTTTCAGCACACCTAATTTCATGCGAAATCAGATCATCACAGTTCAATCATTATCACTGATCCAACAGATTCGCCTATGGCTAAGAAAAGTTTGTTATGTACTGGTCGAGAATTTAATAGTCCTGACGCAAGAAAAGACGGAAATCAGAAGACCACTAGGTATGCGATGATACTTCTATTTTCCAAAACACCAGGAGAATCAATGTCACACAAGTGTGTGAGAGCAAAATAGTGAATGTCCGAACAACTGTGTGAACGAATATTCAAAATGAACAAATCAATAGACAGTCTTAACATGATTGGCTAATTATAATGGAATATCGATCCATATATACGTAGCAAATATACAGACTGTCAAACAAACACACATATTATATGGATATATATCAAAGTTATAGCGTAACTTATGGCAGATTTTGAGGTTCGATTAGGCTCTTTTTAATTTACCACCTGTATTAATCGATAATATTTTTAGGGAATTACATTTACGTATAGTAAGAAGTTCAAGTCTTAGGAAGTATAGCTCTGGCTTGCCATATTCTCACCGGAAACATATAAAACGGAATTCGCGAAAATTAGAACAAAAGTTTTACTAAGATGCGACGCAAATGAAGTTTGTTTACATGTATTGGTTGAGCCAAGTCCAGAACGAATGTCTATGCTTGAAAAGTATCTACCACTATTCTCAGGAAACTGCCTAGTATTCAAGATCTTAGGGCACTATACCTAATCATCCTGAACCCAACCCTGATTCTAATATAAATTTCAAGCCTGGCGTATCCTTGTGCCTAAGCTAAATCCTATCCCTAAGTGCAGACGTAAATATTTTTAATTATAAATTATTTAAATTAATCTCAGCGTGTTTAGAAAATAAAAACGAAATCTGTTTTCTGAACGTTTTGCTGTGTGAACCACAGTTTCTTCAGCAGATTTATTCGGATTTTTATTAATCATCAAAATATACAGTCAAAATTTTTTACCTAAGTTGAAATCAGTTTATTTGAAGGTCATTTGTCCATAGACATAAATCTGCTGAAGAAGCTTTGGCTTACACAGAGAAACGTTCAGAAAAATCTTGTTTTGATTTTCCTTACACGCTGGGATTAATTTAAATAATTTATAATGAATCAATCTGACTAGGCACTCAAATTATTTCAGGAAGTTCGTAACACGTACTGTCTTAACACACCTCATACTACAAACCACATATAATTAATCCCAGCACTACTCCCTTTGAAGTCAAACAAAGCTAAGACAGCCGAGTGGCAGGACGAGCTACGCAGAAGTCTATCCAAGATCAGGAAGCTATGCCTTGCAATCAAGAAGTGAGTGCAGAGAAATCAAACTGGTTTGTATTAGCTCGTAAAAACGATATTGGATTGGAAACCTATTATGGTAAATATTTTTAGTTCAGGTCAACAGAAAGTGCTTGAAGCAACAACTATGCGTTATTCATGATTTGATAAATCACCATAAGGTGAATACGGGCATTGGTGGCGGCTACTGCTGTTCCGCTTCACCTCTCAAACCAACCAGGCATACGCTTACACTCTTTTAACACATTTATTGTATGGTTATTGTGTCATTCCCTGGTTTCAATGTTTTGCCTTGATTAAGTGTTAAATGGTCATTTCTACGTTCGGTGTGTTCTTCACCTTCATCCAGCATGTTTTTTAATACTAAGAGAAGGAAAATGCCTAAATGTTTTACTCTACGCTCTATTTGACAGTTATTGAACGAATTGAATCTTGGAAGTGTCTCAAGCAAAGCCTGGTCAAGGTCAGGTCTGCTGATGATGCTTTGGTAGTTCCTATGTGGGTTTATTATGCATTTTCGCTGATAGATTGTGCGGTACTGTAGGATTTGTAATTAAACCGTTTGGTCCCCAAATGAATCCCCCAAATTTATTATGTATGGAATTGATAATTAGCTCTAAATTCTCGTTTATGATTAATATTTTTCCCTAAAGCCTAATAAAAGTAAAATTGTGTCGTTGAGGTAAAAACTCTTACCACCAACCAAGTCGTGAACTACGTTTTTTAAAGTATGCAGTAACACTGCAATATAAAAAAGCTTTTGTGAATACGTAAATATGTTTACACTCACTACAGATATGTTGAGACAAACTGCAGATAACTGTCGTACTTTCTGCAATGTACCCTAAGTTTTCTTTATCCCAAAAGTTCTGTATTGAACCCAAAGAAAATGCTGGCTGGGGATGGTGCGCATATTAATGGATGAAGCCTCTTGTACGCCGAAGTTTTCTGATCGCCTAAAATGACATTTTGGGACCCGAAAATGTTATTCAGGGGAACTAGTTCGAGTCGATGTGCAGTAAAGAACCCATTATTTTAGCATTCTTACCATTTATCCAAAGTCTTCCCATTTCAACCGTTATTTAACGATTCTTTGACGATTTTTGTCCGACTAGGCAGCTGCCTAATAAAACAAAATAATTTTGTAGGATTTTAAAAATGGCGAGTTTGTGGTTAAAGTTATGCTACACCTAAGTTTTAACTGCTCTGAGAACTGAGTATATTCATTTCCAGTGGTCATCTCGTAGTTTCTTCCTTAAAACCTGAAACTGCAGCTGAGGCAGTTGATATGGTTCAAGAGGTGAGAGGGTGTTGGTCGGGAAACACTATTTTTTACTTAGGATTACTCAAAGGGTAACGGAGACTTTTGTAAGTGCTTTCGCATAATTATTTAACTCTTTTGAAGTGTAATTGCTATCTCGTACATTCTTCATCTATATATGTTATGATATATGCTGCAGCGTAAATTCCTTATTATTGTGGTGTCATTTAATTGCATCCAGATAACTCAGCGGTAAAATTATCCGCCGTTCAAGCGTGGCTCATAGCACGACATATGGAAAAACTATTCCCAATAAATAAGTTTCTACAGTGAAAAATAAGACCATCTCATACTCCAACACAGCTAAAGTTTGCTATACCTTAAACTGTACCATCTTTTAATAACTATAACGCTTGCGAAACCAATGACCTAAAGCGTATACTATCGGACATGAAACTTGTGTTTTCGACTACCCCGCATAGAATGTACTCTTCGTTTAGATAAATCATTGTTACATAATGATGGCTGTCGAAAGAATTTCTGGACTCATGCCGTTCTTGTTTAATCAATTAGGGTTTAAAACTATAGTATTCTTTTTATCCTGTTTCTAAAATTCATAGAAGTATCTCGATATCTGGTGGTATTTCCTAAAATTCATGTATTTTTTTGAACAAATTCTACGATAAAATGAAGCATAAAGCTTCGCCTAAATACTGATGAATTAACATTACTATTTATACACTTGCATTATTCGCTTTAGTGCCTTCTTTTAAACTTTCAACGAACGATCTGTCATGATTTTATCGAACATTTAGCAAATAGTGTGGTGTTTAGTGGTTATCATTTTTTGGTATTGCTTTATGCCTTACAGATACTTCGATCAAAGCCTCAAGATTACACAGCTGAATGGCATCTGCTTGTAAAAAGGAAAACAGACTGGTTACAGAACAGAATATTTTTAACTATTGCATTTCTGGTGATTTAAAAGCTTTGAAAGAATGCGCTCATTCTGTTGGTCAAGTAGTTCATAAAAATTCACTTGACGGTCAAACTTGCTTGATTGTCGCTTGTAGAAATGGTAAGCCTTGTTTAAAATTTATATAATATTTAAAATATTGTTATTTTAGGTCATTTAGATGTTGCTGAATATTTAATCGATGTTCATGGAGCAGATGTTGAACAAGTTAGTTTTATTTTTCCAGTTGTTATGAAGGTTTTTTGTTTTTATCTACAATAACCAAAGTGCGTACTGTAGCCATTTGTAAAAAATTATATTTGTAAAATCTCAGCGATATTGAAACGACTAATTCCAACGTTTCATTCGGCAATCTGGTCCGAACTTCTTCAGGGAAATTTTTAGAACTATTCTGTCAAATCTTGACTACAGTTTATTTGCGTCCTGTAGCGCTATAAGTGTTTGCTGTTATTCAACAATTCTTCTTAAGCAGTAGATTTTGCTTTCTATCCATATGAAAATCGTCAGTACGCTTTGTTCGCTTGAGGTTTTTGAATGTAGAGATTGGTAGGATTGAGTTATTTAGTTGTTCTTTCCTTCTTATATCAGTCATCAAGTGACTGAGAACTTATTTCTTAATTTTGCGTAAATTTCCTTTCAATTATGATGAAAGATTAATATAATGCGAATCAATAATAGCATCAGTCTACGAAGTTTTTGACAGTTAGTATGAGTCATTCAGGAAGGTGTAGACTGGCTGGCGGTGGTTGTGGAGATGCTAGCAACCAATGAATTGAGACTGTTGATTCAAAACCGTCCTCAGTGGAGCAGACTCTGTCTGTCTGTTTTCGACTTTGCACGGGTGTGCGGCAGTCCAAGTTGCCACACTCCATGTAGCACACAAAGCACATTGCGATGATCCAACAGGCTACACTGGCTGGAACCAATGTTCCTGCAGGTCCTCCCATGCCAGGAAGGCTGTTGGGATGGCTATTAGACTAAAAGCGGTTACCGACATTGAGTAAGGATCTTTCTTACACTATGCTGAGGGTCTGAGGGCGAAGTTGTGCTGCTGGGGAACAGGGGTGTAACAGCAGTGAGGCGTTTCCTTCAGATGACCAGCATGCCAGCTATGCTGTCTCTCCACTTCGGAGAGAGGGGGTTAGAAAAGGTCTACCCCAAAAATTGTACATCCCGACTTACCCTACGGTAATTCGTAATCGGTGATAAGTTTACTAATACGGAAACAATCCAGAAACCAGTTCATACAGGCCATGTATGATCGGCCTCAAGCAGTTGTCCTGTGGGCTGTGCGGTCACGCAACACTGACCCTCTTTCTGTTTCAGGTACCCAAAGAATCTATCAACTTCCACGGTGTGGACAGCCGGGAAGTAACAACCGCCCACACCTTTCCAAGAGCACACGAAGCTCTCCTGAGCATCATTCTCCTTTATTCACATCACCTTCCTCATCTTGCTTCTCTACTACAGTTAGTGCTATTCTGCAGGCTAGTGAGTCATCTTCACTTCACTCTGTGTCCACAAACAACGGTGAGAGCCATAGAAACGCCTCAGATAGCCTTTTAAAGCCACGTCGCCAACTTCATACAGGAGCATTTAACGTCAGGACCCTCTGCCAAATCGGACAACAAGCTTCACTAGCAAGAACTCTGATGATTACAACAGAATGGCAGTAGTAATCCTAGTTAGTTTATGCTATTAGTTATGATAAAATAGTATCCAGAATTACCGATGAAACTCAGCTACATGGTGGATTGGACTGTGAGCTACGATATTATTTTGTGTATTATGATTCTACATGGTTGTCGATGTCAAAAATTGGTGGAGTGAGGTGTGCAACCAAAACATATTGCATACCCAGGCCAATGAACCATACTCATTTTCACAATAACTATTGAAAATTAAAATAGGTTGTTGGTTGGTACTAAGTGAACTTAATTATTTCTTAGGTTCGTATTTGCTAACCCTTATTTCTTTTGCTATCTTTCTATAGGTCGGCGTTGTAGAGTTTGAGGGTGAGCAAGTTGAAGGTGTGCCTCCATTATGGTGTGCTGCAGCGTCTGGTCATTTAAAACTGGTTGAACTGCTAGTCAATCGTGGTGCAGATGTCAATCGAACGACAATTACAAATTCAACAGCACTTCGTGCAGCCTGCTTTGATGGACATGAACAGGTATACTTTATTTTACTGTATAATATTTCTCGTAGAGGAAGTTTTCGATATAACAGATTGGAGGTTATGAGGTTTCTTCGCATTAGTTTTAAACGCTGTCACTAGATCAGTCTGTAATTCATGCTTGAAATGGTTTTCGTTTGTGGTGTAAAGAATGGAAATGTGTGTACATTGTCTTACTTATCTGTCTATAAAATATTATAGTCGATAGAAGACTAAATTTTATGTGGTAATTACACATACACAAGAAGGTATATCCATCTTCACGTATGTGATCAACCTATGAGTGTCAACCTCACTTATATGTTATTACACTGTGCTGTCAACTGATAGGGATCACATTAAGACTTTTATTCTTCTGAGTTCCTAGCGGAAAATAAGGCTTCAGGCTTAAAACCCTGGAATCTCAGCAACCGTGGTGTTGCTTTTACGGAGTGGCGTTGGTAGCCCCACATCCAATCTTCGCTTTTCTTGGAGCTTGCTGGCGACTAGTTAACTGGGCGAAGCTCATGAGTGCGTCGACCAGGGATCGTACTATGGACCATGCGCGTGGTTGGCGAGCATCCTACCATACACAAAGAATCACTGAGCTTGGAACTTCACAGGCGTGCGCACACATGACCCCGCCAGGGAATAAACCCGCAATCTTCAGGTTACGAGGCTAAGCAAGCTAGTTGACCACTTAGTCACTTGAGATTATTGGTAAAACTAGTTCCTCGATAGGGGGTTCGAAATAGTCTCACTACTGATCTAAATTGCAGTTCGTAACAAACGCCAACTCCTTTGCCGCGTGACCAAGCCCACAAAGCGTTATCCACTAAATCCATACTGCTCAATATAGAGATTGAAAAACCGACACTATACTTATCAACTTCCCATGTTAAACTTTAGCTATTGACATTATATATTATAGAGTATCTAAGGTGGAGGTTTCTATGCGATATATGAAAGAATAAAAATGAATATGCACATGTGCTGATGAAACAGCTTACCTCGAGTAATCTTAAAAGGTAAGTCAAGTTAAATAGATTTCAGGGGGGGGGCGATATTTTTAAAATTTTAGTTGATGTAAGTGTACGGCTCTAGTGATATCATAAACTTTATTCAATTTCTCAGTAATTGGTCTTATTCAGAACCCTTTAACTAGATACGCCTGCTTGGTTAGCGTTATGAGATATTCAAAGTGAGTTACCGAAGTTACCAGCAGTTCCAAAAAAGACATTCTTACAGATGCAGTCCCTTGGGGACAACACCAGCGATATACTAACACAGCGCCTTAGAAATGAGGCGGTAAAAAGAGCATTTCCTGCTGCCGAATTACGTTGTATCTTAAAGACCACCCCTCTTCTGCGTTCGGTAGTAAAAGACAAACTGCCTAATTTCGCCTCATCCATGTGTATCTACCAATTTAACTGCTCTTGTGGAGCCAGTTACATAGGCCATACAATTGGGCATGTTTCTCGTCGAATTTCCAAACATCACCCTGCGTGGTTAAGAAAAGGACAAACAAAATCTATTCGCAGCGCTATTCTGTCTCATCTTGTGGAGACAGAACACAAGAATGACGTTAACCATACTTTCAGGGTAATTTACCGCATACCTACGAATCTCGATTTCGCCTTAAGAGTTCGACTACTAAATATTGCTGAGTTTGGCTGTTGGGATCCACATTAACAAGCCTAATTTATGCATCCAAAAGAAGTTAGTTCAGACATTATCATTACCTTGGCCATCCAGGTTTGAATTATCCTGAATTTTTGTTGAATTTCCCTAATTTTAGTTGATATTCTATTCGCTATTATATCTTTATTACTATTATAATTTAAGTATTTTTAGTGAGCTGTAATTGCATTGATCCATACTTTACAAATCGATACTATTTAAAAAACACTAATATTGTTATTGACTACTATTCTAGAATATTCCATTTATATAAACATATACATATATAATTGTAGATCCAGAAAAGGAATTTATGCAAAAGGATATTCTTTGCTCAATTATTTTGTGTGTTATAAAGTGAGAAATAACTGTGTAAGAATATTAGCAGTATTATTAACATCCTGCAGATTTCAGACAGTGTCTGTTGATTGATCTGCACTGATTACTTGTGTGGGGAACTGTACAAACTTGGTAAGATAGTGGTGTATCATATCTGTTGACGAAATCCCAAAACGTATACGCAAGTCTTGTTCGAACTCTGTGCAAAAGATGATCTTTTAATCAGTGATAGAGATAAAAGTGTTCATGGTTGTATACATATATTAAGATGTGGATTAAGTACTCAGTTTTCAGCCGATGAGTCATAGGTTCGAGTCCCACCTCACCCTACTTAAACCTGAGCAAATGAATAGTAACATCAATCTTCACACTTTAAGTGTAACCCTTAGCCTAGTACATAGATCTGTCTGCCTGTTTTCGACATAGAACTTTTCACATATGAGCGGCAGTTCAAGTTGCCACAGGTACATAAAAGATATATTCCAGGTAATTGAGTTCATTTAGGATATGTGTTACGCATTCCGCCTTCCTCGATAGGAAATGTTAACTGACATAACATTATGTTGGAAAATAGTTAGTGGTGGTCAAACCAAAACGTGGAATCAGTCATGAAATCCATAACAGCTAGTTTAAGATGACCACCCCCCCCCCTATGTAGGGAGGTATAGACTACCTGCCTGACTTGTTGGGGCCCTCGGGATGGTAAGAAGCAATGAGGACTACAGAGACAATTGGTGATATGGCTCAAACTCTTTGTCAATGGCTGACGCAGATATGCATTCACTCTTTGTGATTTGCCAGTCATATCCAATCAAAGTACTCTATTGTTTCTCCATGTTACTACACTTTTTCTCTCACCCACACTAGTGATTATTATCTCTCTTCACTTGCTTCTCTTGCTTTGTATGTGTGGTACATTGAGGGAGTGTGGCAACTCGAATTGCTGCATATCTATGCAGAGTTCTTCATTGAAATCAGTCAGTCGGTTAAGTTCAAAGAAAGTATATTCTTCATTAGAATTAAGAAATGTTCGATTTTCTCAATTGTTTTTTAACGTTGTCAATGTCTTTAAGTTTGGTTTGTACTTTGCATTGGAAGGAATCTGTACCTGCACTCACCATTACCGGCGAACTGCTTGAAGTACACTTGTCGTGTATCTGGGTAGTTGTTTGAGTGCTGGCGGACAGAATTCCTGATCTTATAGTGAAAAGCTAGAGTGGCATATTTCAATTTGAGCCACCTCTGGCGTCTTCGCGACGTTAACCGTAGCCGTCAACGGTGGTCGCATTTGTAAGGCTTCGGTGCGCGTAGTCTTGCTGTATGCGTGTATAACGTGGCCTCTCCAAGTTGAGGATGTGCGGCAACTCTGCGTATTCTTCAATCATTGATGTCTCTGCAGAATTGCTTGCTTCCGGTGGCATCATCGTGTGAGTAATCCCGAGGTCCGGCAGCGTGTGTTTGGTTACAATGGAGATCACCATTCCTTGAGTGTCGTCATCTGGAAACACTGATTACTGTTCTCTGACACTGGGACTGGATGGAGAAAGTGGAGAGGTGGTGGTCAACCAATGATCTGGCGTCCTGGGATGTAGGATATTTGTGTTAGGTTAACGTCAGTTGATAAATCACGCTTCCTTGGTTGGGTTAGGAGAGATAGTCTGTCTGTTTTCGACATAGAACTTCGCACCGATGTGTGACAGTTCAAGTCGACACACTCCATGTAGCACAAAAAGCAAGAAAAGAAAGAAGAAATGCATAATAAAGACAGTAAACAGAGGTGTGAGACTAAGGAATAGTAATAACGAAAAACAATATAGTTTCATTGGAAATTATAAGTCACAAGGAGTGGATGCATCTGGGCCAGCCATCACTGAGAACGATTTTGAGCCATGTCACCAATTGTTTCTAACCATAGATTTTTACCGTCCCGAGGACCCCAGCCTGGAAGTCTACACCTTCCTACGTGGCTTAAACTAACTTTTGTGAATTTCATTGATTGGTACCGCCATGTTTTGGTTTGACCGCTGCTAGCTCTTTTCCAGATAGTTCTAATCACTGGCTCAAAACGTTGTCTAGATATAATCAAGAATCACAGTCTCACTTGCCAATATATGCTGCAATTTCCTTTCTTCTCTTTTTCTGAAAGTAACGCGTGATCTTGACAAATATGCATCTCTTATTGGCCATAATGTGCCAAATTTTGTGTTTTCAATTTTTAAAAGAAAATCACACCTCAATTTGCTTGTTTCTCTCTCTCTCTCTCTATGTCTCTCTTGACGACATTAAGGTTGTTCGATACCTCGTTGAACATGGCGCCAACATAGAGAATCCTAATCGTCATGGTCACACTTGTCTTATGATTAGTTGTTATCGACGTCATGACAATATTGTTGAATATTTACTCAGTAAAAATGCTCGAGTCAATAGGAGAAGCGCTAAAGGTAGGCGAAATTTTTAATTGCTTTTATTTATTTTTTTAAACTCCTTTTGCGTTCCTAGTGGAACACATAAGGTGACTTCAAGCTAGAGCTTTGAAGTTTCGGTAGCAGTGGGGTTTTATAGCCTCATATCCAACCTTCACTCTTTGTCCTAACTTATTACCAACCAGCTTAGCGAAGTTTAGGAATGCGTCGGTGGCACGCACCATATGCGTGATTGGCGGACATTCTATTGTAACAACAGAAGACAAGGGCAAGGCAACAGATCGTTTATTAACGAAATCAACACATTTATAGATTTTCATGTACATATTATAGATTATTGTTATCAGAAAAACACAGTCTTCTGATTGGTTGTTTCTCACTGAAAGTTAACCTTGCATCTCTTTGTCATATCCGCCTACGCAAAGTCTTTGTTCTCATTTTTGTCACGACCAATATTGGGGATATAAACGTCGACGTAAATTGCTGTCCATCAATTTTGATTAACAGGCAGCTCTCACCACACTACCACTGTGCTACCAACGCACAATTGCTTATATACGATAATTATATGTGTTTCTATTGCGAAGTTATAAACTCATTAATATATTAGTGCAAGGTACACTAATATAAATAACTGTCGTCGACTGGATCATACGGCAGTCTGTGGAAAGCGAAAAGACAAATACGCTGACCCCCCGAATTTTTGGATTTCCAGAACGATTTATGTCTAATGTCACACAAAAACACAAAGATCTACAGGTGGAAACCAACAAGACGGTGGAAGAGGCTGGTAGTGAAGAGAGAACTTCACGGGAATATAGAGAAGACTGAGGTGATGAAAATACCTGACCAGCGAATATAAGCACCAATCACTATCGACGGAACAAGCAAGTCCTTTCTCTCATTTATTTGGGCAGCGTTGTTTCAACTACAAGAGGCATAAATGGGGATGTTGTAACCATAATGGGAAAGACGAGACAGACCTTCATCACTCTGAAATTAGTTTGGAAGTCTTCTTCACTCTCAGCATAATGACTAAATCTCAGATTTTCAACGACATCAATTCCTGTATGTAGGTAAAAAGAAAACTTGGCGCTTCACTAAGAGCATTTCTAACAGGCTGCAGACTTTCATCAACAGACTGCCTTCGCTGGCTCTATATTAAATATCAAATGGCTAGGAAGAATCAGCAACACGTAACTATGAAAACGAACCAATCAATGTAATGTATTCCGGAACAAATATACCGTAGGAAATGGAGATGGCTCGGGCACACACTGAGGGACTGTTAAGTTTTATTACATGCTTGGTAGGCCCTTAAGTGGAACCCAGATGGAAGTTAGGTGTCTAAAGGTGATATGGAACAGGTCATGTGAGGAGATCAGAGTTTATGCGCGGGGGCAGTCGTGGAGCAAGTTAAATAAAACTACAGATACCTGGGCGAAGCAGAGATGTACTCTTGGAACCGACTCAGATGAATTTGTAGAAATTAATAACCGTAGACTGTTCTGTTGTACTTTAGTAAAATCTCAAAAGTAGGATGAAACATTTGTTCATCAGTAGGCATTGGGTTTCATGAATTCTCTGTCTTGAAGATGCTTGACAAAATCTGCCTTGATACACTGGGTGACTTTTGCACACACACACACCTTAAACTCATCTTAGACTGACACACCTCTAAATTCTGTGTACAAACCAAAAACGAACAGTGTCTTTAGTGAATTTGATCAAAGAGAGAAGGAATATTAAATTTGCAGGATGAAAATAACTCACTTATTTCTTCCCATCTCGTGGCTTCTCATCAGCTTCTAACAGCATACAAATTGGCATAAGTTGTTATAAATGCAATCGCTATATACATATATAACATACTTCAAACATTATTACAACTCAAGTAAAGTAGTTGTAAGTAATCCACAACGGGAAACTTGCGGAATCCTTCGAAGTGAAGACGGGAGTAAGACAAGCTGGCTGCCTACTATCGCCAATGATTTTCCTGATTGGAGTAGATTGGATAATGCGACAGACAGTTAACGGGAAGCAAGGAAACAGGCATAAAATGGACCCATACAAAAAACTTGGAGGGTCTGGACTTCGCCGATGATATATGTCTGATCTCCCACAAACTGGAAGATATGCAAGTGAAAAGCAACAAGTTGGCAGAAGAAGCATCCAGAGAAGATAGGACTTCACGTGAACATAGAGAAGACAAAGGTGATGAAGATTCCAAGCCAACACCTACAGCAACAACAACAACAGACAACAATCAGCATAAATGGGAGAAACCTGAAAGAAACAGTCTCCTTCACCTACCTAGCTATCTGGGAAGCATCGCTTCAACTACAGGAGGACGGAACTGATGAGGATATTAAAGCAAGGATCGGAAAAGCAAGACAAGCTTTCATTACTCTCAAGTCTGTGCGGAGGTCAACAGCACTCAGCATGAAAACGAATATAAGATTCGGATTTTCAACTCGAATGTGAAATCAGTCATTGCTACTATATAGATCAGAGACTTGGCGTGTCATGAAGAGCATCTCAAATAAACTACAGGCCTTCATTAACAACTATCTTCTCTCAGTACTACTCAAGATCAGATGGCCAGCCAGAAAAGATCAGCAACAAGGATCCCTAGCAATGAGCGAACCAACCCAGCAGGTACCGACTGTGCAACAAATAGGCAGGAAGAAATCGAGATGAACTGGTCATAGTCTGAGGAAACCATCAAGTGAAATCACTAGACAAGCCATTGCTCGAGTGGAACCCAAAAGGGAAGCGGTGAGTTGGTCGTTAGTGAGAGGATGATTTGGAGGAGGTCATGTGAAGAGGAGATGAAAGCATGTGGGCGGACTTGGAGCGGGTGAAAACTCTAGCAGAGAACTGGACTCAATGGAGACACGCTGTTGAAGCCCTATGTTCCTCTAGGAATTAAAGGAAACAAAAATAATAACAAAGTAATTGTGGAAAAAACAGATATGATTACAAGATAGTTGATAATCTAATAATAACAACAACAACCGGAGTTCACTTATGCATAATGTGATAGAACGTGTGACGACAGGAGAGGATGAAAGTGAAGAGAAATGCTAAGCAAAAGTAGAAATTATTACGTAAACAGGCATAATTAAGTAAATTTGAAGATTTATAATCAATTCAGTCAAGTGAGTTGTAATCAAAACAAAATTGTAATGCAACAAAAACACAGAAACATAGTAGACACATTTATTTACTAGGGACCTGAGAGATTAATCACACGATATTTCTGTGTACGGAGATTAAGCTGAAATTGTGTGACAGTACTGTCTTCTAATAATAATAATAAATAGCTACAGGATTTCATCATGAGCTGACATTGGTTAGAGAACCATTAGAAAACCTGAGATTACTAGAGAGCTGTTTCATCCCAGTTCTAGACTCTTCGGTGCACCTAAACATTGATGTAAATTATTGTTTACAATTTTGGCTTGCAGACAGCTCTCATCACAATATAACAGTGGTTAGTGATAGTCAAACATGTGTTATGCATCTGAAGAAGTGGAGATCTGATGAGTCATTGGTTTAGGCCAATCAGCATTCAGTTCATATGCGTGTAGGCTACGAATCATACTCCACTTACTTTAGCCTCAGTAGTAATTGGGTGGTGTTACATCAGGTGTTACACAATAAAGTATAGTTCATGGTCTAAGACGTGAATGATCTGATCCTAATAACTTAGTTCTAATAAATAACCTTTGAAACCACATATTAAATCCTACAGGGAATAAGATAACCAGCTAGTTCTTGAATAGGTCTAAATTGATTTGTTCATGCTGTGACATATAAACTTCTAGAACAGACACGCCTTGAAATTATCATGGTTTTACTATTATTTTCATACTCCTTTAGGTTCTTAAGTGAAACATCAGGTCTCATCAGAACACATCCCCATTTCATCCTGTTCTCTGCAGTCACCTATAAGCTTCTCTGTATCACCCTCAGACGCCAAACTTGTCGTTTCTCATTCGGCTTCCACTCTAGGGCGTGTCTGACTCTTGATGTTACTCAGAGGTCTTCTCAGCGTGTGTCAGATTTATCTCCTGTATCTTGGATGCATATATATATATATATATATATATATATATATATATATATATATATATATATATATATATATATATAGCCTGCTAGAATTTGGTTTGCTCGAACTGATTCGGCTCCCTCAGGTTAGTTGAACCGACTACACCGTTGACGTGCTGCTTTGGCCTCGGGTGAGCGGTGTTTGGATAACGTCTGGCTAGCAAGCACTGTGAGTTGATGTGACTACTCATGTCAATCAATCAGTAGTATAGAACGGATGTCCTCAATCCAGTTGATAACTACAACCGAAATGTGCTTAGCGTTTAACTTGGCCCCATTTTAGTATCAGTGACACGTTTCGTTATTAACTAGTTGGCTATTATTACCAACGGTGTGCGCCTGCACCAGTCACCTTGAATGGGCTTAATGAGTTTCTTCATGTGAGTTCAAGCTTTCCTTTCGGCCTAATTCGAGTGAAATGCCTCCCCTAACGGACTAACGTCTGAAATTTGGTGTGAACCAAGTTTTCGAGTATTGCTTAGACCGTGGGATTGATTGGAAAGGAAAGAATCTTTTCCTGTGGGGAGGTGTAATAAGTAGAAAAAGCTTCAGTAGATTGGTTAATGGAAATGTTCACCGTTGTGGAATTTGTGTAAGACGAGTTTATGTGAGAGAAGGTAAGCTGACGGTTATACCATTTGGTAGGAACATTTTTTGCTGGTTGTCCCATTAATCGTTATGTGGTGAGAGCTGTATGCAAGACAAAATCGTAGACAACAATTGACGTCAGTGTTTACGTTCCAACGCGGGGTCATGAGAAAAAACAAGAACAAAACCTAACCTTGAAGAACTCAACAACCAATCACAGCAGACTTAGCGTGGGCGGATACGATTAGCAGATATATCACCGGACTGGCCCCAAATAGATGACAGAATAACCTTCGGCAAGAAAACGACCAATCAGAAGACGTTGCTTCTCAGCTAACAATAACGAATAATAATGTACATAAAAATCGATAAATATCTGTTGATTTTCTGAATAAACAATCTGTTGTCTGGCCCTTGTCTTCTATCGTTACAATTAACTCAGATTTTGTATATTTGTAATTGCTGAGTTTTAAAACACTTTGTGAGAGTTGTAGCTGCAGAAACAGGAAATAGTCTCGTTTCGACAGTTCACTTGTACAAATGTTGCAGAGATATTGCTCTTTAGAAGATGGAGAAAGTTACTACTTCGTTATTGGGAGGACAAGGTATCATTGCATATACAGATTAGAACACTTAAATAGAGAGGAAATACAACCGTGGTCGTGAAAGAGCGAATAACGTTTGGGTGATTAGATTATGCGATACCAATTTACGGAACAGGTTCATCGAGAGAATATCAGAATATCACTCGATTGGTGAAACGAGGATCTATAGTACACACAGATTAATGGATAGGATATAATTCGTTGTCATCCCTTGGGTATATATTCACCATACAGTAAACCACACTAATGATTTTGTAGATCCTCTCACAGGGATCCACACAATTTCCATAGACGAATTATGGGGAAGGTTGCGGGACAGGATTAAAGTCACTAACACGTCTCAAAAGGATACTATTCACAGCCATTCAGATAAATAATACATGTAGATAATATGGCTTAACAACACTCAGCATGAAAAACAAGATCCGGATTTTCAACTCCAGTGTGAAGTCAGTCAGTGCTACTATACGGATCAGAGACTTGGTGCCATGTCACGAAGGGCACCGCCAACAAACTACAGACCTTCATGAACAGCTGTCTTCGCACAGTACCACTCAAGATCAGATAGCTGGCCAGAAAAGGTCTAAAACAACAACGACTGTGCAACAAATATGCAGGAATAAATGGAGGTGGATTGGCCATACTCTGAAAGAACAAACCATCAAGTGACATCACACGCAAGGCCATCGCTCAAGTGGGAGCCGAACGGGAAGCGGCGAGTTGGTCGTTAGTTCAATGGTGACATGGAGGAGGTCATGTGAAGAGAAGATGAAAACATGAGGGCAGATGTGGAGCCAGGTGAAAACGTTGGCAGAGAACCGAACGTGATGGAGACATGCGTCTGAAGCCCTATGTTCCTCTAGGAACTAAAGGTAACAAAATTAATAACAATAATCTCGATTAATACTCCTATGTTAAACTGGGAGTCAAATTTTGTCACACGCCAGGGAAAGGTATCCCCTCTGTAACACTTTTATGCCTTTTTAATGCATTATTTTCATAAACATACGTGTATTTTATACGTAGAAATAGCCCTTTTCATGCGATTGTTGCGTTCAGGGCCATCCTCTGATTGGTGGTTACTGGTGCATAAAGTTTAACCTCGCCGCATTCTTTTATGTTGTTCCATTTCTTCTATAAAGGTAATACTGCATTACACGATTGTACAGAAAGTGGAAATTTAAAATGTCTACAGTTGTTATTGAGTCATGGAGCTATAATGCGTAAAGATGAATATGGCCAATCACCTATCATGTCTGGAGCGAATGCAGCCTTTAAAAAGGTTAGTTCATTGATATGAAATTAAAACAAATAGATAATATATTCTTGTGTAGCATATTATTATTATTATCATTCCCTTGGGTTCCTAGTGGAGTATAGAAGGCTTCATCTACACTTTGTTCTATTTTCTGCTGTCCTCTTTAGCCGCATCCTGACTACAGGGACTTGTTAGTCATTGACTGGTCAGTAGAGAGTGTCAGCTTACAGTTTTTCACAGCCCACAATGTATTATTCAACGGCCTGGCCGGTTCCACAGCAGCAGGTGGACTGATATATGCACATAGAAGTGGTCAGATGCAGGATTTTGTCCATGAGACTTCCGCAGATCAGTGGGCGACTGGAGAACACTATTCTTAGCATTGCTGCAAAGAATGTTCTCAGAGATGATGTGATCCTTCTCTTGAGAATATCGCTTGGTAAATCTCCCTTGAAATCCAAGTTCATGTAGCGTTTATTTTTAGGCACAAGTGAAGTTTCGTTTCTCCGAATTCTCGGTTTGATATTTTTGTCAATGAATCTAGGCGGGTATCCATTTTGAATGAAGATTTCTCTTAGAATATCTAATTCTGTTTCCAGAATGTCAGGACTACAGATGCGTCGTCGGATGCGGGTGGCAAGTGATTGAATTAAATTCTGCTTTTGTTGAATGGGTACCCAGCTATAGAAGCATATATATATTGTACAGCTAATAAAATGAATTCGCCGGCGAAAAGAGTCTCTTCGCTGATCTACGTGTTTTAAGGATTATCCATGAATGAATTTCTTCAAAAAAATTTTTAAATTATATCCTCACTGGTTTTTTTCATCTGTTTGTTTATTTTAAATCTAGATCGTGGATTATTTATCTGTTTTCGATATACCGGATACAGGACAGAAAATTAGTTGTTATGAGAAAGCTGCAGCCTACGACCTATTAGGCGCTAGTCTATTCGATCGTCATTCACTTGTACAAGATGCTATTGCTGCATGGTTTCAAGCGATAAAATATCGTACAGAATTCGCCATCTATAATACTATTGTACCTATGGAAATAGTTCATCCAGATATGAATAGTTATAAATTTATTCCACATCGTGTACCGCAGTGTTCATATTGTCAGAATGGGCTGAAGTCGTCGTTCACTTCATCACCGCCATCATCATCATCAACAACCACATCCACATCATCGTCGTCCGTGAATGGCGAAGATACAGAAGTAACCCTAGGTGGTGGTAATACCGCCTCAGAAGGAGGAGGAGGAGGAGAAGAAGAAGAGGAATGTGCTGTTAACAGAGATGATGATGATGAAAGGTGGTCATTGACAAATAATTCACCAAAAAACTGTTGGTCCCTAATATCACTAGCTGCACGTGAAGCTGTTGGACTGTCTGAATATAATCGTAAAGCTGAACAAAGTTATTCTCAGTCATTATTTTCACAACGTAACAAACAATCAACAATCATTAATCAGCTGTTATCGAGACGTAATGTATACAACAGTAATAATAATAATAATTCACAGTACAATAAATTGTCATCCACAAAACGACGAAATTCTTCACAAGAATTCCATAATATCTATAAAAGTAAATATGAAAAATTAAAATTAGACTTACAAAATGCCTACCAATATGAATTTGAACGTTTAGGTCATTCATTGTATCGTACAAATTCCCTGAGAGATTATACAACATCTGATAATCATTCAGCATCATTTTGTTCTGCATTCCTGCAAGGTGCGCATAATTCACGTCTCGGCTTACGATCTAGTTGTTCTAGTGGTCATTATCATTATTATTATAGTGATCAAATGCCTGTAAGTCCATCATCATCATCGACTGGGGCTGGTGGTAGTGGTAGTGATGGAACGTCTCCGCCTACTTCTGCTACACCTTCTTCGCATTCTTCTACGCCAGTAGTATCACATCCAAATGGTGTATTCATTCAATCTGTTCTACCAGTTGATCCTATTTTAGGCTTTGAACCAAAATGTTGTCAAATTGCACGTTATCGTCGTTGGCTACTCGAACCGGTTGATAATGATCATGGTGATGATGATGATGGTGATCAGGCATACTCTTCTTCGTCTTCACTGTCTAAGAGTGACAAGAATACTGGATTGCTGAAGAATAGTTGTAGTAGTAGTAATAGTAATAACAATAATGCAGAGCAGATGTCTGTTACAAAATATATTAATCAATGTACTAATTGTCAACGTATACTTGTTTCAATGAATAATGTTCATTTGATGAGTAATGATGATGATGATGGTGGTGGTGATAGGGCTTTCAATAAATCTGTCTGTCCAATATGTAAAACAGTGATAACAGATCCTTCTGGTGAGTGTTTACGATTATTATTATTATTATATTTATGCGTTGAAGTTTCTGTAGCAATTTGGTTGAGTTTTTTTTGAGGTGGGTGTGGAGTTGCTAGCACCACGCCCCAACCCTCTCCCTCTTTATCCGGGCTTGGGACCGGCTAGAAAACTGGCGAGCTAGTAATCTAGGCGGAAAACTCAGTGAGGCGTTTGAAGTAAACACACAGGAGTTAGACAAGGGTGCTTATTATCTATCACCGATGATATTCCTAATTGTGGTGGACTGGATTATGCGTCGTCAGACAGTGAGTGGGAAACGAGAAGACAGGGAGGGATATCTTGGACCGATGTGAAGAACCTAGAAGACGTGGATTTCGCGCGGCGACGATTTATATCTGATGTCAGACAAAATCGAAGACTTAAAAGCGAAAACCGACAAACTGGTCGAAGAAGCAGCCAGCGAAGACAGGACTCCAGGTGAACATAGACAAGACGGAGGTTATGAAAATTACCAACCAACCAACAACAACATCCAGCGCCAATCACCATCAACGGGAGGGATTTGAAAGAGGTTAGTTACTTCATTCACTTATCTAGGGAGCATTGTGTCAACAACAGGAGGAACGGACGAGGATGTGAAATCGAACGAGAGTCAGGAAGGCGAGAAACACATTCATCAACCTGAAACCAATCTAATCTGGAAATCTTCGTCACTCAGCATCAATAACAAATTCAGTTGGATTTTCAATACAAACGTCAAGTCAGTCAGTTCTTCTATACGGATCAAAAACTTGGCGGGGGTCACAGAGAATGTTTCCAACAGCCTGTTGCAGGTCTTTATCAACAACTGTCTTCGCTGGCTCTATACTGAAGATCAGATGGCCGGTCCGGAAAGAATCACCAACAAGAAACTATGGGAACAAACAAAACAAGATTATAGGTTTCCAAACACTATGAGCCTCCATGACCTTTTAAAACATATAGTATCATGTTTATCACATATGAATTCACAAATAACATACATACACACACACTCATACAAAACTAATCTTTTCAAATCAACTATAGAAAAGTGAACACAACAACAATTTGACATTAGTCATTACATATTTCTATTGGTAAAAATGTCCATGGACAAATGACCTTCAAATAAACTGACTTCAATTTATGTAAAAAAAACTAATGCCAGCTCATGATGAAATCCTGAAACCAATCAAATCCCTACAAACCAACACTTGAATAAAAACTTTTTGACTATATATTTTGATGATTAATAAAGATCCGAATAAATCTCCTGAAGAAGCCGTGGCTTACACAGCGAAACGTTCATAAAACAGATCTTTTTTTTTGATTTTCTTAACACGCTGGGATTAATTTAAATAATTTATAATGAAACTAAACAAGAACCAATCGCCCAACAAATATGCAGGAGAAAGTGTAGATGGATTTGACACTCGCTAAGGAGGCCGCTGGGTGACATTGCGCGTCAGGCCATTGCTCGAGTGGAACCGACCGAAAGTTACTACATTGATATGGTCGTTGGGCTGGCATATCTTAATAATCCAAAAAACTACCCTGGCTGGAGTTAATGTTCCTGCAGGTCCTACTATACCAGGAAGGTTGTTAAGATAGCGACTAGATTAAAAGCAGTTACCGACATTATGTGAGACTTTTTTTACACTATGCTGGGGGATCTGTGGGTAAAGTCGTACTGCTGGGGAACATGGATGTAACAACAGTAAGGCGTTTCCTTCAGATGCCCAGCATGCCAGCTACACTGTCTCTCCACTCTGGAGAGAGGGGGTTAGAAGAGGTTAACTCCAAAAATTGTACACTCCGAGTTACCCTATGGTGGTCCATAGTCGGAGATGAGTTACCAATATGGAACAAAACCTAAAGACCAGTTCAAACAGGCTGTATGTGACCGGCCTCACTTTGTTGTCCTCTGGTCTCTGCGGTAACACAACACTAATTCTGTTTCTATTTCACGTACTCCGAGAAAAAATTAACTTTCACGGTATGGGCAGCTGGGAATTAACAACTGCCCATACACTTCCAAAAACACACGAAGAGAAATGTGGTACTGAAACTTATTAGTGCGTCACATGCCTAAATTCCTCTTCATCCCACCTATCTAGGTTTAAGCGACCGGATAGTATCATAACTATTTACATTAAGAGATGTGGCTCCCTGCCAATTGCATGTAACTATACAAGTTATTGTTGAGTAACATTTCATTTCACTCATTTATCTGAAAAGTAATAGTGAATATGAATGTTGCGGCGAATTGGTTTTCGGAAGTAGTGTCATTGGCAGCCCCACACTCAACCTCTCTTCTTTTCCTGGACTTAGGACTGACTAGTAAGTAAGTCAGTGAAACTAGTAAACTGATGACCAGAAAGAATTCGCAAAGGATCAGACAACCTTTCACCTGCTTCAGGCAGCATCCCGGCCCAGACACAAACTATAAGATCTTGCGTGGTGCATCTTTTGGTACCCATAGTGTACCAAGTTTGTCATGTGATAATAATAATATATATTTTGCTTTCTCTTATTTCAATTAAATCTTGTTTTTTTATATTTTCTTTTCCAGGCAATTGTTCAGGTGATGACAAAAGTGGTACTAAACAGTTTACTACTTCCACAGGAAATGGTCATGTGTCAGTGACTGAGAGTGTAAGTTGTTGATATGCTTTCTGAAGATGACTTTAATGGTCTGTAGGCTGTTTCATGAATTGTTCTACCAGTGGAACGTGTTTTAAAATGGTGTCATTGACAGTATTTCCTACACTTAGACACCAAATCTTTGACTCTCTCCACTCAAGTTCCACTTGAGAGTCTGGTGTTTGTGTGTGTGTGTGAGGTCAATCGAATGTTTCCTCTGGAGTGCAAGTGAGACAAATGTGGTTAATGTAAGTATAAAACTTGGGCACTGTGGTAGAATATAACTCCATGGTGCATAAAATTTTATTTCGATAAATCACACAATGCTGTTATCTGTCTGTCTGGATTCAACATAGAACTTGGCACCGAAGTGCACCAGTTCGAGTTGCCACGTTCCAAATAGCACACAAAGGTAGACAAGAAGATGAGTGAAGAGAATCAATAGAGTTTGACAAGTTTAAGAGTGAAACAGAATGGGTAATGGTAGAAAGGAATATGAAAGATTACAGCGACTGAATACATCTGCTCTGGCCACTGACAACGATTTTGAGCCATATCACCTATTGTCTCCAGCCATTGATTCCTAGAGTCCCGGGGGCCCCAACCCGGAAGTCTGCATCTCCCTACCTGACCGACCGACTCAGTTTAACTGTCAAGGATTTCATGGATTGATGTCATGTTCTTGTTTGGCCACCACTGGCTCTTTTCCAACCTGCACATATATCAGCTAGTAATGCCCGTCGGGGGAGGCGATGGTTAGGCATGCGCACGCAGCACGTGACCTAGCCATCTCAATCTATGTAACTTTATAGCCTCGTCGATTGATTTTCCCTCTTTGTCCAACACTCTACGCCTAACGTCAACATTACTTACCTTATTAAACCACCTAACGTGAGAAACAGATCGCTGACATCTATGATCAAAAACGGTCAACCTTTTCATGTCTTCATCTCGTATTGGCCATGTTTCAGAGCCATAGAGAAGGACGGAGCGAACTGCAGCTGAGCAGTACACACTTCCCTTGGTGGATAGCCGGATGTCACGCCTACGCCAGAGATGGTGTAAGCTGGCGAAAGCAGCTCGAGCTTTTTGGATCCTTGCTCAGATTTCGTCGCCAATCAGTCCGTTGGTGATACTGATACAACTTCCCAAATAGGTGAGAAATGGTCAACATGTTTTATCACTTCACTCCCTATCACTAAGCTAGGAGTTGACGTAGTCCAGTCCTGTAGCTTCATCATCTTACATTTTACAGGGGCGAACCGCATGCCCAACATACGAAGTTTGCTGCTCAAGGTGTTCAGAAGACTCTGCATTTTGTCAGCATCCTCCCCTAACAGGACTATTTCATCTGCATATTCTAAGTCCATAAGACTATTCCCTGGTAACAAGTCGATTCCTAAGTCATTACGTTCAGTTAAGGATACTTCCATCAGGATATCTATGATGAAGTTAAACAGAAACGGGGAAAGTGGACATCCCTGTCGGACACCACTGGTTGTTACCAATTCAAATGACAATTCCCCATAAGCCCTTACACGGTTACGTGAGTATGAATAGAGTGCCTTGATTAGTGCAATCTACTTTCTTGGCACTCCCTTCACAATCAAACATTGCCATAGTACTTTCGATCCACGGAGTCGAAGGCCGCCTTCAAGTCAAGAAATATGGCAATTGTTGGACGCCGAAACGTGTGTCTATGTTCTAGAATCTGTCGGAGAGTGAAGATATAATCTATGCACCCTCTACCTGGTCTAAACCATGCTTGATTTTTCCTCCTTTGTTCCTCCCGAGTTCTGCTTAGTCTATGCATGATTACTGAGCCTAGGATTTTAGAGACTATGTTCGTCAGGCTGATCCCCCTATGATTATCACACGAGGACTTGTTTCCCTTCGAGAATATTGTTGTTATACAGTAATATTTACTGACGATCACCTTTCGAGCTCAATTTATTGCTATTTCTCATCGTCATAATATCAAGGCACACTATTCACTCACACAACTTTCTTGCTTCATTTATATACACGAGTAAAAACTGATGATTAGACATTTGAATAAAATCAATAATATCAGATGAGAAAGTACATTCGGAAATAATATTATTAATGTTACCAATAAAATACAATCAGAGGGAAATACGATGTTTTCATAGTAAAATAAATAAATAACTTGTTAGAATGTGAATTGAATTGAGTACATTTTAACATTATTTATTATCCACCTATCGTCCATGTCACTAGAGCTTAATTCTCCTGAAGATGAAATGAAACACATAGAGGAAAGCGTCAGTGTTAAATAATTATCCTTTAAAATTCCTTAGGAATTCATAAAAGGTCAAAAGCAAATTAAAAATAATGGTGAAACTAATGATGTAATGATAACATAAATAAGAAAGAACATGAGGCATCTACAGTAGTTTTACCATGTAAGGAAGGGACATCTGAAACCCTTCCTAACAGGATTCTAAATAAAGCAAGAATTAGGGTGGTAGCATTCAAACCTAGAAACTCATTCAGTTAGGACAAGCTGTGTAGGCTAAAAGACCCGGTAGACCCAATTAAACAAAATAATATAATTTACAAAATACCTTGAAATGACTTTGAGTGAGGTCAACTACATAAGTCAGTCAAACTAGTAGATCAGGAGTAGTGAGATTATTAGAATATAAGAATTTAGCTAAGTGTAAAATGATTGACCCCACGGAGATAAGTAATTTAGAAAAAGAACTCAGCACTGCATTCCACTGCATGCAGTAACACACAACCACACACGCAGTGGGGTGTGTGGAACAGAGTCAAAGTTCTAAGAAGAATTTGAGGTCGTTAGCATGTAGGAATGGTGTATCTGAGGTGAAGCAGTTATAAATGCTGTTAATGTAGACTACAGACGGAAGTGGTGCCAGGACACCACCGTGTACAAACCTACTTTTGATGTACCTAGGATAAGACCAGACAGATTCGACTTCGATAAAAGTATAAAATTTGGGTACCGTGGTAGCCGAAATGAATAAGTAACTTGTTAGAATGTTGTGATGTACGTGAATTGAATTGAAATAGAATACAATTTAAGATTATTTATTATCCTTTTCTGATTTGGCTGACTGACTGGTGGTAATAATATCTTCCATTTTTCTGGTACTTGCATTGAGTCATTTCTGTTGCATGTGTTGGGTGTACACTCAATGAACCAGGCAGGATTCAGTAATCAATCTCTCTCTCTCTCCACCTACCTAGATTACTTACTTCTTAGAATCTTAACCCTCTCTCACTCTATCGTGTGGTTTTTTGTGCACAATAAAAGACCTAAATGATGAAATAAAACAGATAGAAGCTTTGGTATCAAATAACTATCCTATAAAATTCATTAGGAAGATTGAAAAAGGCCAAAAGCAAAATCGAAAAAAATTGGGAAACTAGTAATGATAACATTAATAAGAAAGAATATAAGTCACCTACTGTTATATCATATAAGGAGGGGACATCTAGGATACTCCCTACGTGGCATTCTGAATAAAGCAGGAATTAGGGTGGTGGCATTCGAACCTAAAAACTCACTCAAGCAGGACTAGTCCTGTAGGCTAAAAGATCTGGTGGACCCAATTAAACAAATTTTCATATAATTTACAAAAAACCCTGCAATGACCGTGAGTTAGGTCAACTACCTACATAGGTCAAACTAGTAATGTGCGTCGGTGGCACAGTGGTTAGGACTCTCGCCGACCATGCACATGGTCCGAGGTTCGATCCGCTGCTGACGCACACCTGATATCTATGGTCGGCCTGCAAAATTTGGGCTACCGATATCCATGCTGAAAATTCCATACTTGTACCAAAAATACAGTGTGGAATCAAGCTGTGATCAAAAATAAATAAATAAAATAGTAGGTCAGGAGTAGTCAGATTGTCCGAACATAAAAATTTAGCTAAGGTAAAAATGGTTGACTCCACCCGAGAAGATAAGTAACTGAGAAAAACGCTCAGCACTGCATTGCACTGCATACATTAACACATAACCACATAATAGAGTGGATGGGACAGAGTCAAAATTCTAAAAAGTGATATAAGTAGGTGGAGAGAGATAGAGAGAGAGACAGGTTGATTACTGAATCCTGTCTGGTTCATCGAGTCTACACCCAACACATGCAGTAGAAGTGACTCGATGCAAATACCAGAGATATGCAATATATTATTAGCAGTCAAATCAAAGGAGAATAATAATAAATAATTTTAAAATGTATTTGGTTTCAATTCACATTATAACATTCTAACAAGTTATTTATTTATTTTACTATGAAAACATCGTATTTCCCATCTGATTGTATTTTATTGGTAACACTAATATTATTATTTCCGAATGTACTTTCTCATTATTGATTTTATTCAAATGTCTAATCATCAATTTTTACTCGTGTATATAAATGAAGCAAGAAAGTTGTGTGAGTGAATAGTGTGCCTTGATATTATGAAGATGAGAAATAGCAATAAATAGTGCTCGAAACGTGGTTATCATCAGTGAATATGACTATATAACACTGCTGTGTGACTTTATCAAAATAAAATCTTATCCATAATGGAGAAACAAGTGTGATATAAACTGAAAGGTAGGCATTAGAAACGGGTAGGTGTACTGTTCTACTAAAGACAAAGCTTTCGTTCAGCTTTCGTCTAGAGATCTGTCTCTACAGTAAGTTGGTTTTCTGCTCGTCAGTATAGTGTTTAACTGAGGCTCATAATATTGTGTATGGCCTATTATCTTGTTTTTATAAACTCGATGGGCTATACGCATATATGAGTGGAACTGCATCGAAAACATCGCAGGTGAAGATAAAAATGATCACATCACGGGGAACATGTGCTGATGTTGAATTTAATCTATGATATATCTGCACGATTAATATGAAAAATAGAAGGCGTTCAGTGAGGAGACTCTTTTCGGCAGCGAATTCATTCACATAGCTGTATAATTGTATTTGTATATAATTGTTTTTTTTTGTGTGTGTGTGTGAATGTAC